TCCAATATCACATGCATCAGGTAGTGGTATTTATGTCTCTAAGCTGAATCTGTACAAGAAAGCTTGGTCTGGTGACGATAAAATTTATATGAGACCAGCTACTGACAAATAAATGAGATTACCTTTGCTTTTCCTGTTCAAGTTTCAATTTGTTCAATGGATTTATGCTGTTGATAATTTCATTGATACATTTCAGATTATTTGTCAATCGTACCATTAAAAGTTGACAGAACCTATACAAACTCTGAAATGGAATAAAATAATACAGTTTTAGAGACAAGGAAGATATGAACAGTAAACATGGTAAATTACAGTAGAGTTCTCAACTGCTTTCTTGATAAGTGATTTGTCATTTTTAACTTGTCTGATAGCAAAAGCCTTTTACACATTATTTAAAATACATGTGGAAATAGAAGGCAAAAAAACCAAATAAGTATAAAAACATGACACAGGGAGAGATTGTGTTATAATGCGTGGTTTCATGGAAAATACGCCGATTTTTTAAAAATAAAATATATTTGTTGATCAATTTGTAAGTTAGAAAATGAAGTTTTTGCTGATATTCCAAAAATTCCTTTTTTCTGCAAAAATTTTGGCAGACAAACAAATAACGTTCCTATATGTTCACAAGCTGACTGGGAAACTTGTTGGATAAAATGTATATATTTGAAGGATTTCCAAAAATGTCCTACAATTTGTGTTGAAAAATATTTTCTTGAAACATGAAACGTGTTGTTCTAAAATGTGTTGTATCTAAATTTGCGAGAAATCATGAGACACAAATGACATTTTTGATTACTATCTCTCTGCTAATTTTATAAACCTGAAACTGGATTTCCATGAGTTTGTAAATTTTTGAAAAGGCACAATATTTAAAAACAATTACAGTGCTCAATTTTTGTCCACGGGCCAGTGCGTAATTAACAAATGCAGAAATCTTGGTCAAATGATAGCCAAATAGACTTGATTAAAGGATATGGATGATAACAAGAAATTAAAATAGAAGTTACAAAATGCCGACTTTAAACGAAGGTGTTGAAAACTCTTGATATACAATTATAGTTAATGAGCATAGCTGAAATATCAAAAACTTAACTGAAAGCATGAATTATTTTATAAGTTTGGAATAAAATAAAATGTGTAATGAAAACGGGATATTACTACAGAAATACACCAATCAACAATTATTTTCTTCCAAATCTGTGAACGATATATAGGTGAGCTTGAAATAAATGAACCACGTCTGACAAATCTGTTTCATATTTGATTAACAGCAAAAGATGTTTGGACAAGTTATGATAAAGTGATTACTTTAAATTTTACCGGTCACACCAGCAATGTGTAAAATATATCTCAAAATTCGATACGCCATGTGTTGAACAATTTCCAAAACAATGTCATTACAAACAAGTTGATTTACAAGAAATAGCTGTACCTTTAAAGTCATCATTTTGAAAGTCTCGATTGTCAGCAAATAATATTTATCATTAAGTCATATGCTGACTGAAATTTTTCATAAATTGGGGAACCTTAACACACAGTTCACGGAAAGATCATGACATGGAGCACATGGCTGTCTACAATATTAGAAACTGGTGATGTTTGAAAATCCGTGTCACCCTGTTGTGTAATATTCAATTTAGTTGTTTACTGGTTATCTCCTTATGTTTCTATAGTTAGCAAAACATACCTGTATGACCATATGACAGTTAAGATACTTATATGCACAGTAAACTATGGTGTGTCTTTTTCAAGTTTTCTTGGATATATCGAGTCGACATAATGAATGTAACTTTGATTAAACTATTGTTAACTGATATAATCATAAAGTTGAAAGTCGCAGCAAGTTTTATTTTTGTAGACATACATTATTGTATTCTTATAAATTCGGCTTCATGTGAATATAAATACAGGCTGGCTAATTAAAGAGTACACTTAATACACGTCGGAATTCCAACAGATAAGAAGGATGTGGTCTTTCAAGACCTTTTTAGCAATGTTCCAATATCACATGCATCAGGTAGTGGTAATTATGTCTCTAAGCTGAATCTGTACAAGAAAGCTTGCTCTGATGATGATAACATTTTTATGAGACAAGCTACTGACAAATAAATTGAGATTACCTTTGCTTTGTCCTGTTCAAGTTTCGATTTGTTCAATGGATTTATGCTATTGATAATTTCATTGATACATTTCAGATTATTTGTCAATCATACCATTCAAAGCTTGCAGAACCTTATACCCCATTCATACGACATGATTTGCATACCTCAGTGTATTGTACACATAAGTAAATGTACTCATATGTGCAATTTTTGTGATATGAACTGATTTACTCATATGCAAATTCTGCACTGTTGAGTAAATTTAAACCTGGTCAGGACTAGGTGCAAATTAACTTTTGGATACACTTTGTAGCAAATTATTAGTTCATGTGTGTAAATTTTGTCGTATGAACACACAGCAAATTTACTTATGTATGAATTTTGGTTTGTTTATTGCATAAATCTCCATGTTAAGTGTTGTTTCGGTTGTGTATGCAATGGCGTGTAAAATATCAGTTGGTAAACATGGTGGTTAGAAGGCAAAAGTCTGAAACATGGATTCAACTCCTCCGAGATAAATTTTCGAGTTTGCAAAAACGAGGGCATCTTGCACCCTCTCTTGCAAACTTATGTTTATGTCTATGAAGTAGAAAGATACAGCAATGGTCGCAGACACATGCCTTGTAGGATCAATAAGTAATGTCCTTACTATTCAAGTTGTTTCCTTGGGAATGCTCCGGAGCTATGATATATAGGTACATGCAATCCATCAATCGCTCGGTCCCCATTACCGTTTAGCTCTTGATGACTTTCCTCTACCTTTCTCTGTTTTTAATTCAGGCAAGCTACTCACATATAAGTTAATGTTACAGGAATTTCAATAAACTCTTTGAAAGTAAGCATTCGTAAGTATCTTGGCAATTGATCCCACCGTGTATTTCTAGGGGTTGGTGTTAACTTCCTATTCACATATTTGTATTGTTCAAATATTTTTGAGATCGATCACTTAGTTTTCTTCATCCTTTTCATTCTTTTGGAAAATACATAATTATCCTATTCAAGCAGATATTTTATAATGGCTTTGCACACTTGATATACTGTGGATTTCTCAACACCAAAGAGATTCCAATAGTCCCTTTTCTGCTGAAGACGTCATCCAGTAGATGGCAATAGTCACTTTTTTCATTACACCCCAAAGATTGCTATTACCTTCCTTTAGGACCAAGGCGTAAAACATTTCCAAACATTAAACAAAATTTTAATAATTTTTTTTCTTCGTGTATAAATTCTTAGAATACAGTTCTTTGTCCTTAAAATCATAAACAAAGTTGAAAATTTGTTTGACATGTTCATAAATCTAGTGGTGATAGGTCCTCCTGGATTTCATGATTTTGATGAAGGATTCAAAAGTTAGTCTTTTATCAAACAGTAAAAAAATACCCTTTTTCTATAAAAATCATAATTCTGAAACTGTCCATCTGCCTTATTTCATATGAAAATGGTCACACCGGCTGTATGCTCCTTGTCATGATCAGGTACATAAATCTCGTCAACATGTATAAATAATGGATTAACAATTTTACTAAAAAACGTGTGTAAATTTATTATATGTAAATTTGCACACAAGGTCATTTTCGACCATCGACCTTATGAAATGATGACTTTAAACGAAACTCTGAAATTGTAATGTTAGCATTTTATTATCCTTTTTATAGTTTTATTACACTCAGTTAAATATTCAGATATATATTCTTCATTTTGAAGGTATATTGCTGAAGATAGAAAAGTTAAAAATTATCATATACCATTTTGTTGCCATTTTGACCATTAACGCAAGTAAAATTTTCATGAAGGCCAGCATATTTTTTCGGATTCAGCATACAGGATATATCGTATCGATAGTAGTTATGAAAAACCTTGTTAATTGACCAAAAATAATTATTATGGAGTTAGAAGTTATTTCAAGCTTCTTTTTAAAAGGTCCATAAAACAATACAGAAAAGGAGCATTGCAAACACGAACCTCTAAAACATCAGAGGTGGGACCAGGTGCCATGGAGGAGTGAGCATCCCCTGTCGTCCGGTCACACCCGTCTTGTGCTCCTTGTCATGACCGGGAAATAAGGGGAAAATCCGTCGTCAATTAAGTGTGGAATTAGTGGCCTAACAATAAGTATGAAAAACGTCAGTCAGCATTTGACTCAATGATAATTATATTTGCTGAAAAGGTAATTATATAGACCCTAGAACTTACCAAATGATGACTCCAAACGAGACTGTTGATATTTTTGTTTTATCAACTTGTTTGTCAATACTTGCCTAGTCTTAGAAATTATTTATATGTAAAGTATGTTCTTTCATATCGAACCAAAAGCGAGAAATAAACCCCATATGCAGGTGATGACTGAGGGTATATTGCTGCATGAGTAAGGTGCTTAAGTTCAACTCGAAATAAAGTCTCCAGTCTGAATTTCTATTCGATCTTAAACAGGTCATTAGATATCAAAAGAAATTTCCACCAAGACATTCAACTTTCTTATCAGAGAGTACTGAAAGATGACCTCAAAGGATATGCTTTTTATATTCACATAACAGTTAAATATTCCGAAAATCTTTTATTGAAATATATAATAAAATCTAAAGTATGGTTTAGTTGAAGTGTCTTGTGATTTTGCCATGTTTAATAGTGATGTTATACCTTAAGCCAGATTTTGAACGCTCTGTAATAAGGTCGCTGTTTATCGCGTAAGGAGAGCGACAAAATAATCAATCTAATGGAAGACATTACAATGATCCAAGTGTTAATATTATGGTCGGCTCCTTTGCTTACTTGCGCAGGTTAGTCACTTTGTTAAACAATTGGAATCTGGTTGCTGTCTCATTAGTATCCGGTTAATTCTAAATATTTTCAAAGACTGGATGGACATGGTGATTACTATATCTTGATATTTTTCAGATTGCCCGACAGGATGGAAGAACTTCCAAGACAAGTGTTACTTTTTGTCGCATACTTTAGAAACCTGGACGGGGGCCTCGGTATTATTTTATTTTCATTTAAAACTATGCTCATTCATTCAATTCGAAGCCATTTCTGAAGGGAACTGTTGTCGTATTATCTACACGAATGAGTGATGGAAAATTAAAAGATGAAAGAATTTTATAACAATTCTAGTTATAGTGGTATAACATGGGTTAGAACAATTAACGCTTTTTATGAACGCTTCGCGGTTTTATAAAGCGTTCACTGTCCTAACCCACGTTATATGGATATATAGTTTAATATCTGTCATTACAGGGTATATGGTTAATACTTGTTACATTAAAAGATAAGTATTTTTGAGTGCATGTGAGACGTTAGTCATCCATGTCAAAAGTAATTTGTATCCCATGCGGCCTACATCATTTTTGTTTATCAATCTTAAAGTAGAGTAGAGTAGTACAGTGTCACATGATGTCTTCCTTTAAATAAATAAATAGAGCTTTTTTTAGCAGAATATTAATCCATTGGAATTCCCATGGGTACCAATTCCGCCCCGTTACTAAAGACCAATTTTTGTATTCGTTTGGAGCAGAATTTGTCCAAAATCTTATGCCTGAAAAGAAGAAAACACTAGTTGTGGCATTCAACTCCACATTTAAAGATATCGACGTAGTCAATTGACAATGATTATTTGCATTATTATGATATTTACATATATCCCGGTGAGGCTGAGATAAAAGATAAAATAAAGTTCGACACATCTGTATCATATTAAGATATTTTACTAGTAAAAGACGTTAACGGTAACCTAACAACCGAGCTTTATGATAAACGTGATGACTTTAACTTTTCAATCGTCAACTACCTTTACTCATGCTGTAATATACCTTCATCACCTGCATACGGAGTTTTTATATCTCAGTTGATTCGATACGCGAGAGCATGCTCTACGTATGAACAATTTCTAAAACGAGTTGATTCACTTACAAAAAAGTTGCTGTAAAGTCATCCTTTCTTAAGTTCTTTGGTCGATGCAATGACCACTTGTAAGCAAATACAATTTATCAGTCAGTCAAATGCTGACTGATGTTTTTAGTACTAATACTTATTTCACAATCATGACTAGGTTCAACTGTTTCAAAAAAGTTTTGAATAATCCAGATTTCTGGAAATCAGCTACTGTAACACTTACATTTCAGATTATGTGTAAATCCTTTCTGTCAAAGCTTGCAGAACCAAAAACTCAATCTGAAATTGGATATTTATCTAGCGAGGTATCTCATGTCACTAAGTAACATAGATCAACGAAAGTAAAATCAGTAAATATTTTTCAACTATTTTCTGTTGAATTATTAACCATTTAAACCTGTGCATACCTTTTGAGATGCCAATTTTGAGTTGGGACTTACAAACAAGTTGTGGATAATCAGTCCTTTCTTAAGTTCTTTGGTCGATGCAATGAAAACTTGTAAGCAAATACAATTTATCCGTCAGTCAAATGCTGACTGTGTTTTAATGTCTAATACTTATTTCATGGAAAATATGACGATGTTGAATGTTTCAAAAAAGTTTTGCATAATTCAGATTTGTGGAAAACAGCTATTGTAACATATTTCCATTATGTGTAAATTTTTTTCAAAGCTGTGAATAACTCAATCTGAAATTGGATATTTATCTTGATAAGCTGAGGAATGTAAATTAGGCAAGTCGATAGGTCAACTAAAGTAAAATCAGCAAATATTTTTCAATCTTTCTGTGTTGAGATTAGGAACCAAATATTGTAAACCTGTGCATATGTGTTTGAGATGCCGGTGGGGGTTGGGATTACTGAAATTGGCATGGGATAATCAGTGTAATTTAAGTCTATGTCTACATTTTCAAAGTCTAAATCTACAGTTTTGTTTCACAATGAAATGGAAATATAAGGAATCATTGTCTAGTTAGTATAGTATGCCAGGGACATCAACGATAGTGGGAAATATGGGATAATTTGCATAACGGGCGAAGTAACGAATTGTAAGTAATTCAAAATAAGATTCTGTTATTGTTCAGTAAAAGGAAGAAATAATTCGCGACATTCTCAAAAACAAGTATGTTTCTGTAGCAAAATTATTTGCCAATGTTCTTCCAGATAAATATTTTTTCGTCCATTGCTTACAGGTTGACAGGACGACATATTGGATAAAATGTATGTTATCAAAGGAATTTTATTCCCCTTTGTGTGTTTATATCACCTTTAATGTAGAAATTGTTAAAAGAACAAATTCTTTACGAGTTTGAGATAATAAAACGTTTATAAAGCAAAATAATTACCCAACAGCTGTTTTGAAGACTCGATTTTCAAGGACTACCTAGATATTGTCATGGAAGAACATTAAGCATCAGAGTTCTTATTGTGAAGAATGAAAAGGGTGAAAGTAATGAACAGTAATCTATCAATATAAAATCAAACTATTTTGTCATCTTGAACATTTTGAAAGGTGAATTAACTTTGTCTGTTTTTGTAAAATAAAATAACATCGATTTTTGTATCATAAATCCAACTGTAAAATTTGCCTCTTTTTTCTTTAGAATTTAAACGTCTTGAATTTATCGAAATAAATGTTAACGAAGTCAATTTAATTGATAATAAATAATAATTTTTTTATAAATAAGTATAAGAATACCTATATAAGTTACTCCAAAGAAGTGATAACACTCAAGTCTTGAAAGCAGTAGATAGATGTTTCTCACACACTATCATGCTAATCGTCGTTGTGAGTCTGGGTTTGAGACTTTTTTTGTGAGTGTTTACGAGATCCGGAAATGTTTCGTCTTCGCGGAGCTCTAAGCTCAGATAAGATGCTGGATATGTCTGGTTGAGATGCGTTCTTTGTAATACGCGGTGTGGAGCTCGAACGCTGGGAATTACGAACTTTGTCGCTAGAATGAGAGACAAGGACGTTACCGAGGATTTCCCCTAATTTATTTTGGCCAGGCCATGCTGAGGGAACTGTATGGATGGTGCCATCTTTGTCCAACTCGGATGCCCAATAGTCGTCATATGTAGCCTCAACAAAGATTGTCGATTTTTTTTGTTTACAAAGAGCCTCGCGAAAATCAGACACTTATTCGAATTTAGCCTCGATTATTTCAGTCATGAGAGCCACTTTGTTGGATTCGAAGTTGTCAGAGGGCGAAATCTTACCAATTCGTTTTGCATCAAGAGCAGAAGACGCAGACTAAATGGCGTTGGCTCTGAGTATGTCCCCGCTCCTATTGGCTTTCACATACTGGAAGGCGTGTTCAGATGATTTGTGTTGGACACCGAAAGTTTTTATTTCGCATGGAAAGAAGTTGGACAATGCATCATCAGCGCTTGCAAACGACACAACTTTAGGGGAGTCTTCTGTGTATCGGTCACAAGACTCATCTCCCGGGGAATGCCCCTCCTCTTTGCACACTTTGTATCTGGGCTGGTTCGGACAGTCTCGTCTATAGTGGGAAACTTCCCTGCAATTTGTACATTGTGGAGTACGTTTGTTAGAAGGCTGTCCGTAATGGTAGATAAAGCACTCCAAGCCAGCACATCTGCATGTACGAAAGAGAAATTTTCCTTCTGGGAGCGCACTCACATAGATAAAACGGTTTCCATTCAAAATCTCAGTCATTTTCTGTATTTCTGGATGCCTTATTTTCTCAAACTTCAGATCACTTGTGAAATTAAGATCGAATTGTTTTAGCATTTTCATGATTTCCTCATCATCCACAGACAGCGGAATCCCTTTGACAGTTTTCTTCAATACCTGTTCAGATGGGTCCTTGATTCCCGCAGAGAAGGGATTGTTGTCTTAGACACTGTGTGTTTGTTTCTAACATCAAAACCCTCCTGTAGAAGTTTCGATCTGCTCTCTAATGTTTTGACATAGACTCTCCACAAATATCTGTCTTTTTGAACACAAAGAATATCTGGCACAATTTTACCAACTTCGACAGATACATGTAACTCATAATCAGAAATACGGTTAACACCGTTAATTGCATTTACTTGCACTTCCTTCTCCTTGAAATATGTAGGTTTGATTAACTCCGTGTTTTTACAGTTGAGTAGATAACGGTCAAACACTCAGGCTAGACTGCTAAGCTAATGAACTGTTGCACACAAACACGGGTGACAGTTCAGGATAGGTAACAAGTGGACACGGTAATCACTGATCACTACTCACGGTGTTCTCACAAGTTAAAGATCCAAACAAATAGTTAGATAAGTTAAATAAATTCTTCAAATTCACGAAAATCAAAATCAAAAACATATATACACAAGCGCAGAAAGCATAAGAATAGTGCAGGAATACAAATTCACTACAAAAGCACTTAGACTTCCAAAAATAAGCCAAAACACGTTCTCTCGGCTCAGTATCACGTGGCGTTAATTCTGGATGTCAAGTTGAAGGTCACACCAGTCTTTTCTCATCTATTGTAGACATTTCTTTAATAAATTCGGCTTCATATGAATATAAATACAGGTTAGCTAATTAAGGAGTACACTTAATACACGTCAGAATTCCAACAGATAAAGGATGTGGCCTCCTAAGACATTTTTAAGCAAAATTCCAATACCACTTGCTTGAGATAGTGGTATTTACGTCTCTAAGCTGAATCTGTACACAAAAGCTTGCTCTGGTGACGATAAAAGTTTTAACGAGACACGCTAGTGACAATTAAATCGAGATTACCTTTGCTTTGTCCCGTTCAAGTTTCGATTTGTTCAATGGATTTATGCTATTGATAATTGCATTGATACATTTCAGATTATTTGTCAATCGTACCATTCAAAGCTTGCAGAACCTAATACACACTCTGAAATTGGATATTTATCCAGCGAGGTATCAAGCGTGAGTAAGTATAGCATAGAACAAGGAAGATATGAACAGTAAACATGGTAAATTACAGTAGAGTTCTGAACTGTTTTCTTGAAAGATGATAAGACGTTATTTTTAATTGTCTCTTTCCAGGTGCCGGTGAGTTTTGGGTTGGGATTACCGACATTATTGCGGAAAATCAGTGGATTTACGATTCATCTTTAACTCCGATAGAAATAACAAACTGGGGTCCAAACGAACCCGACGGACAACAGGGAGAGAACTGTGTTATAATGTCTGCGTGGTTTCATGGAAAATACGCCGATGTTGAATGTCACACAAAGCGCAAATTCATTTGTGAAAGAGACAAACCGTAAGTTATGCAAAACAGAAGTTTTTATGTATCAGTTTAGCGCAAAACATTACCTTTCCTAATTCTTAACAATTTTGGCAGACAAACAAATAACTTTCCTATATGTTTTACAGGTTAATTGGGCAAATTGTTGGATAAAATGTACGTATTTCAAGGATTCCCAAAAATGTCCTACCATTTGTGTTAAAAATATCTTCTTGAAACATGAAATGTGTTGTTCTCAAATGTGTTGTTCTAAAATGTGTTGTTCTAAATTTGAGAGAAATCAAGAAACACAAAACACATCCAGGATCTAAGGATGGTCTATCCCTCTTGGTCCCTGAAATTAAGTAATCAGAATGATACTGGATTTCCATGACTTAGTAAATTTTTGCAGTTGGGCAACAGCAAGAAAAGGTTCGAGAAATTCGAGAGGTGGGTCAGGACCCTAGAAACAGTAAGCCTCCCTTGTCCACTGGTCACACCTGTCGTGAGCCTTATGTAATGATCAGTAGACGGAACATTCTCAAGTCAAAGTCGGTAATATGAGTATAGTAAAAAAGGCCTTACAATTAGTATAAAAAACAAGTCAGCCAAATACGACTTGATTAGAGGATATATAAGTATGATAACAAGATCATTTTTAAAATAGAAGTTATAAAATGCCGACTTTAAACGAAGGTGTTAAAAACTCTGTAACATCTGCTTGTATGTCAGGAGCATCCCTCGATTCAAAAACTGATTTCTCTCGGAGCATGCTCTTGAGTATTTTATAAGTTTGGACATATAAATACCAAATGTGTACATAGGTAAAACGGATATTACTACATAAATACACCAATCAACAATGTTTGTCTTCCATTCTTATGTGACACGATCCCGGTGAGCTTGAAATAAAAGATACCACAGAATCTGACACATCTGTTTCATATCTGAATATTTTACTTGAAAAAGACGTTAATGGTAATCAAACAACCAAGCTTTATGATAAACGTGATTACTTTAAATTTTCAATCGTCAACTACTTATGCAGCAATATATTCTTATCACCTGCATACGGGGTTTACATGTATATCTCTAAGTAGATTCGATACGCAAGAGCATGCTCTAATTATGAACAATTTCTAAAACGATGTAAGTTATTGACAAACAAGTTGATGAAACAAGAATATCAGCAGTATCGTTTAAAGTCATCATTTTGTAAGTTCTGTCGTCGATTGTCAGCAAATACAATTTATCATTAAGTCATATGCTGACTGATATTTTTCATACTAATTGTTAGGCCAGGCCATTATTAACACAAAGAATTGTGGACGGACTTTTCCGTTATGTCTTGATCATGACAAGGAGCACATGGCAGGTGTGGCCGGTCGGCAGGGGATGCTCACTCCTCCATGGCACTTGATCCCACTGTGATGTTTTGGAGGTTCGTGTTTTCTCTGATTTTATTGTGTAATATTAAATGGAATTTTGAGCTCGAATACTGTTCGTTATCTCCATATGTTTCACACGGAAGATTGACGATGGGGACAACAAAATCATCCTCCCCTTTTTTCGAAACATCCCTTTTCACACAGTTAAGATGGCCCTTATCTTATATAGTCAGTAAGTAAACATCCATACGTGAAACCAATTTGGCAGACTTTGTAGTGTCCTTACTTTCAAGTTCTCTTGGATATATCGAATCGACATAATGAATGTAATTATTTGAATTAATACGTCGTAAATATATCATAATATCGAGTTGAAAGTCACAGCAAATGTTATTTTTGTTCTCATACAAAAGATTTTGAATAAATTCTGATTTATGGGAATATAAAGACAGGTCAGATTATAAAGGGTCCCAATAAGTACCGCTCGAAATTCCAACGATAAAACCTTATTATACCCCACGCAACTAGTTGCGTGAGGTATAATGTTTTTGACCCGTCTGTCAGAGTGTCAGTCAGTCAGTCAGTCCGTCCGTCAGTCCTGTTTTTTGTCAGCGCATCTCCTCATAATTAAACCGCTGCACAGAATTTCGTCAAACTTTGCAGATATTTAGGACACAATGTGTAGATGTGCATATTACCAGAAAATTCCGATTCCGTTATTTTTTCCGGGAATTTCCGCACTTTTTAACTTAGGCATTTGGCTATACCTTGAATAAAGAGATGAACATTTTGTCAGCGCAACTCCTCATAAACCGCTACACAGAATTTCGTCAAACTTTGCAGATATTTAGGACACAATGTGTAGATGTGCATATTACCAGGAAATTCCGATTCCATTTACGCGTTTTTTTTAGGGAATTTCCGCATATTTGAACCCAATTTTTAATTTCCTTATGGTTTTGGCCTATACCTTATATATAAAGAGATGAACATTTTGTCAGCGCAACTCCTCATAAACCGCTACACAGAATTTCGTGCAAACTTTGCAGATATTTAGGACACAATAACTTTTCACACGTGTAGATGAAAGCATATTACCAGAAAATTCCATAATGAAATTCGTTATTTTTTCAATTGAAATTATTTAAAAGATGAATTTCCTGCACTTTTTAACGATTTTAAAGGCATTTGGCTATACCTTGAATAAAAAAGAGATGAACATTTTGTCAGCGCAACTCCTCATAAACCGCTACACAGAATTTCGTCAAACTTTGCAGATATTTTGGACACAATGTGTAGATTTGCATATTACCAGGAAATTCCGATTCCTTTATTTTTTTTCCGGGAATTTCCGCACTTAAACCTCAGGTTTCTGGCCATACCTTTTACATAGAGATGAACAGTTTGTCAGCGCAACTCCTCATAAACCGCTGCACAGATTTTCGTCAAACTTTGGAGATATTTAGGACACAGTGTGTAGATGAGCATATTACCAGGAAATTCCGATTCCTTTATTTTTCTGGGAATTTCGGCACTTTTCAACTTAGATTTTTTGGGATATCTTGAATGTAGTGATGAACAGTTTGACAGCGCAACTCCTCATAAACCGCTGCACAGAATTTCATTAAACTTTGCAGATATTTAGGACACAATTTGTAGATGTGCATATTACCGGAAAATTTCGATTCTTTCATTTTTTTTTCCGGGATTTTCAGCACTTTGAGTTTTGGGGGAGCGTGGAGTATGTGAGCTTGCTCACTTTTTCTTTCATTCTAATGGTTAGAGGATACATGTATTTAGAAAAACGAATTAGGGTGAACCAGCTGTGACAAGAACCTATGCAATTCTTGTCCACCCCGAGCGGAGTAATATTTGAAAAATCATCTAAGACCCATGCTAAAAAGCTCATGTTTGAAAATAAAAACAGAGAGGAAGCAAAACATATTAATTGATTTTATTGTTTTAAGAAATATTTCTCATAAATCCAATATTGAATGTGAATCATGAACAGGGGCAAAAACACTTATGCCTGGAGACACCAGATGTGGGAATAGGAACCTATCAACTACGGACACCAGAGGTGGGAACAGGTACCTATCGGCCAGGGACACCACAGGTAGAATGGGTACCTATCATCTAGAAACACTAGAGGTGGAAACAGGTCCTAAATATCGGCTAGAGACACCAGAGGTTGGAACAGGTTCCTATCGACTAGATACATTACAGGCCAGAACAAGTACCTATCGACTTCAAATGCCAGAGGTGTGAATTAAGTATCAGCAAAAGACACCAGAGGTGGGAACAGGTCCTAAGTATCGGCTAGAGACTCCAGAGGTGGGAACAGGTCCTAAGTATCGGCTAGAGACTCCAGAGGTGGGAACAGGTCCTAAGTATCGGCTAGAGACTCCAGAGGTGGGAACAGATACCTATCACCTAGAAACATAAGAAGTGGGTACATGTACCTATCACATAAAGACATATGAGGTGGGAATAAGTACCTATCGGCTAGAGACATCAAAGATGGGAACATGTACCTTTAACTAGAAAGACCAGAGGCGGGAACGGGTAAATATCGGCTAAAGACATCTGAGATCAGAACAGGTACAAGTTCCTGTCGGCTAAAGATACCAGAGGTGGGTAAATACCGTTATGTTTTATAGGTGATACTGACACTCTCGTGAGGGCCACTTTTGTGACGGAATTCAGAAGCAAGGTAAGCTGGGATACAGAACTGGCCCACGAGATTGATGTGTTTTCTCCATTCTGTTTATGTCATCTGACACCTTTGTGGCCTATGATTGCTATTGTCCTTCCTTTTATATCGCACGTAAAATTTTGTGCATTTCATTCTTTGTTTGTTAATTGATGAAACAGTTTGTGTTTTTATTTTTTTTTTTATGGAAGATAAATATACTTAGAATTTTTACAGTTATTAGGCTTCAACCAAATCATAAACAATGAGTTCAAAATTTGTGCTGACATGTTCATACTATCTAGTGGTGATAGGTACTAAAAAGCAACAGGATTTCATGATTTTGATGAAGGATATGGAGATAACGAACAATATTCAATATCAAAGTCCGTAAAAAAAACCAAATAGGAGCAGAGCAAACACAGACCTCCGAAATATCAGGGGTGGGATAAGGTGCCATGGAGAAGTGAGCATCCCATGCTGACCCTGGTCACACCGGCTGTATGCTCCTTGTCATGATCAGGATATAATGGAAAAATCCGTCGTCAATTCAGTGTATAAATAATGGACTAACAATTAGTATGAAAAACGTCAGTCAGCATTTGACCAAATGATAAATATTTTATTTCCTAACAAGGTCATTGTATCGACCATAGACTTTACGAAATGATGACTTTAAACGAAACTGCTCACACATATTCTTGTTTCATCATTTTGCTTGTCAATAATTTACCTCGTTTTAGAAATTGTTCATACGTAGAGCATGCTCTTGCGTATCGAAATCAACTGAGATATATATACTCCGTATGCAGGTGATGAAGGTATATTGCTGCATAAGTAAAGGAAGTCGACGATAGAAAAGTTAAAGTCATCATGTTTATCATATACCTTGGTTGTTAGATTACCATTAATGTCTTTTTCAAGTAAAATATCCAAGTATGAAAGAGATGTGTCATACTCTGTGGTATCTTTTATCTCAAGCTCACCGGGATATATCGTATCGACGTAGTTATGAAAATTACCATTGTTAATTGACAATAAGAAAATAAAAGAAGTATACATGGAGATAACGAACAGTATTCAAGCTCAAAAGTCCATAAAACAATACAGAAATAGGAGCAGAGCAAACACGAACCTCTAAAACATCAGAGGTGGGACCAGGTGCCATGGAGGAGTGAGCATCCCCTGCCGACCGGTCACACCCGCCGTGTGCTCCTTGTCATAACCGGGAAATAAGGGGAAAATCTGTCGTCAATTAAGTGTGGAATTAATGGCCTAACAATAAGTATGAAAAACGTCAGTCAGCATTTGACTCAATGATAATTGTATTTGCTGGAAAGGTAATTATATCGACCCTAGAACTTACAAAATGATGACTCCAAACGAGACTGTTCATATTTTTGTTTTATCAACTTGTTTGTCAATACTTACCTAGTTTAAGAAATTGTTTATATGTAGAGTATGTTCTTTCATATCGAATCAAAAGCGAGAAATAAACCCCATATGCAGGTGATGACTGAGGGTATATTGCTGCATTAGTAAGGTGCGTAAGTTCAACTCGACATAAAGTCTCCAGTCTGAATTTCTATTCGATCTTAAACAGGTCATTAGAGATCAAAAGAACTTTCCACCAAGACATTCAACTTTCTTATCAGAGAGTTCAAAGGATATGCTTTTTATATTCACATAACAGTTAAATATTCCGAAAATCTTTTATTGAAATATAGAATAATATCTAAAGTATGGTTTTAGTTGAAGTGTCTTGTGATTTTGTCATGTTTAATTGTGATGTTATACCTTAAACCATTGCTGATTTTGAACGTTGTGTAATAAGGTCGCTGTTTATCGCGTAAGGAGAGCGACAAAATAATCAATCTAATAGAAGACATTACAATGATTCGAGTGTTAATATTATGGTCGGCTCCTTTGCTTATTTGCGCAGGTTAGTTACTTTCTTAAACAATTGGAATGTGGTTGCTGTCTCTTTAGTATCCGGTTAATTCTAAATATTTCCAAAGACTGGATAGGCATGGTGATTACTATGTCTTGATATTTTTCAGATTGCCCGACAGGATGGAAGAACTTCCAAGACAAGTGTTACTTTTTTTCGCATACTTTAGAAACCTGGACGGGGGCCTCGGTATTATTTTATTTTAATTTAAAACTATGCTCATTCAATTCGAAGCCATTTCTGAAGGGAACAGTTGTCATATTGTCTACACGAATGAGTGATGGAAAATTAAAAGATGAGGAATAAGTTATAGTGGTATAACATGGGTTAGAACAATTAACGCTTTTTTATGAACGCTTCGCGGTTTTATAAAGCGTTAACAGTCCCAACCCATAATATATGGGTATATAGTTTAATATCTGCCATTACAGGGTACATGGTTAATACTGGTTACATTAAAAGATAAGTATCTTTAAGTGCACGTGAGACGTTAGTCATCCATGTCAAAAGTTAATTATATCCCATACGGCCTACATCGTTTTTGTTTATCTATCTTAAAGTAGTGACAGTGTCACATGATGTCTTCCTTTAAATAGAGGCATAACTTTTTCTTGCAGAATATTAATCCATTGGAATTCCCATGGGTACCAATTCTGCCCCATTACTAAAGACCTATTTTGAATTCATATGGAGCAGAATTTGTCTAAAATCTTATGCATGAAAAGAAGAAAACACTTGTTGTGGCATTCAACTCCACATTTAAAGATATCGACGTAGTCAATTAACAATGGTTATTTGCCTTATTAAGTTATTTACATATATCCCGGTGAGCTTGAGATAAAAAATCAAATAAAGTTTGACACATCTGTATCATATTAAGATATTTTACTAGTAAAAGACGATAACGGTAGTCTAACAACCAAGCTTTATGATAGACGTGATGCATTCAACTTTTCAATCGTCAACTACCTTTACTGATGCAGCAATATACCTTCATCACCTGCATACGGAGTTTATATATCTCAGTTGATTCGATACGCGAGAGCATGCTCTACGAATGAACAATTTCTAAAACGAGTTGATTCACTTACAAACAAGTTCTATAAAGTCATCCTTTGTTAAGTTCTTTGGTCGATGTAATGACCACTTGTAAGCAAATACACTAATACTTATTTCACAATCATCACTATGTTCAGCTATTTCAAAAAAGTTTTGAATAATTCAGATTTCTGGAAAACAGCTTCTGTAACACTTACATTTCAGATTATTTGTAAATCCTTTCTGTCAAAACTAGCAGAACCCAAACTCAATCCGATATTGGATATTTATCTAGCGAGGTATCGCATGTCAGTAAGTAACATAAGATCAACGAAAGTAAATTCAGTAAATATGTTTCAACTATTTTCTAGAAAGATTATTAACCGTTTAAACCTGTGTGTGTATTTTGAGATGCCGGTAGATTTTGGGTCAAGATTACAGACATTGTTGTTGACAATCAGTGGGTTTATGACTCCTCTTGGACTCCGACAGAAGTAACAAACTGGGTTCCAAATGAACTGAACGGATACCTCGGGGGAAACTGTCTTATTATGTCTGCATTCCACGGAAAATACGCCGATGTGGAATGTCATAAAAAATAGCAAATTCATATGTGAACGAAACGAATTGTAAGTAATACAAAATAAAATTCTGTTATAGTTCAGTAAAAGCAAGAAATATATAATTCGCCACAATCTCAAAAACAAGTATGTTTCTGTCGAACAATTTCTCTCCAATGTTCTTCCAAATAAAATTTTTTTCGTCCATTGCTTACAGGTTGACAGGACAAGTTATTGGATAAAATGGGTGTTAGCAAAGGAATAAACATTTTTTTATATCCCTTTGTGTGTTTATATCACCTTTAATGTAAAAATTGTTGAAAGAATAACTTATTTACGAGTTTGAGATAACAAAAAGCAAAATTATTACCCAACAGCTGTTTTGAAGACTTGGTTTTCAAGGACTACCTTGATATTGTCATGGAAGAACATTTAGCATCCCAGTTCTTATTGTGAAGAATGAAAAGGGTGAAAGTAATGAACAGTAATCGATCAATATAAAATCAAATTAGTTTGTCATCTTGAACATTCGCAAGGTGAATAAACATGGTCAGTTTTCTTGGACCAGATTGCCCGACAGGATGGAAAAGCTTACAGTAGAAGTGTTACTTTTTCTTTCACACTTTAAGAAACCTGGATCAGAGCCTCGGTATTCGCATTGTTTATTACGAGGATAACGAACAGTAGTCTGGATCATAAGTTCATTAGGAGCGGAGGAGATACAGATTGCTAAAACATTTAAATGTGTCATAGAGGAGTTAGCATCCCCTTGGTGACTGTTGTCGCACCAGACGTGTGAATCTTGTCATGGTTAACGGGAAAATCCGCAGAAAATTCAGTAAGAAATAACGGACTAACCATTAAATGGTATAAAAACCATCAGTCATTTTATGATTTCATGATTTAGTTGTTAACGAGTTCAGTACCATCTATAGAATTCGCTAAATGTTGACTGAACGGTATCAAAAACTTATTCTTAAGTAGTTTGCATTGTTGAGGGAGACATAAACTGCATATGCAGGCGATGCATGAATAGTACACGTATATTGCAAAATGTAATGGAAGTTGAGGATAAAAAAATTAAAGAACTTTCTGTGCCCCATGGCTCCGACTGCCAGGTTTTGGTCTTATTTTGAAGTCATTCACCAGTTTACATACTATAGGTAGAAAGTAAAAGAAAATGCCATCGATCAATCTCTTTATCTACTAAAATATCCAAATGTATTTTTTTATTGTGGTCATTAAAGTTCTGTGTGTGGGGTAGGGAGGAGAGTCAGAGTTATGGAAACGCTTTCCAATAGCCAGGATGATAAAGATATGTCAAAGTTTTGAGATTAAGCGTTGGTAATAAAAATTTAAAATTCAATGCAGCACTACATATTTAAAACAATAAATACAGGAAAATATCGCTTTAAAAGTCAACAAAGTATTTAAATACAATGCTTATCAATATAACCGAGATACTATCATGATTTTTAAATTGAAAATGTGGTTCTAGTCTCAACCACTGGTCTTCTAAAGGATTCCAAGCTTGTTGATTCATATTTTGACATAATTATTTGTATCACATGACACACTGACTTTGATTGATAAAAATGGTACCACAGATCGTTTCTATTATTAGTATACCATTCTAGGCGCATATATAAAAATAGACTTTCAAATTATGCAATTGAAAGTGAATTCACTTAGAGTTGAATAGTTAATTTTGTAAATATGACCACAAGAGCTTTTCAGGAGATGTGGTCATTGAACCAAAACCTGATAGAAAAATAAATTGATAACGAACTTAATAAGAAACGTGCACAATGTTTAAAAAACAATATGTACTCAATTTTTCTTTTCCAAGAGCGCTAATTAACAAATACAAGAATCTTGAGTCAAAATATATTTTAAGAGCATAAAGTATAACATGAAAGAGAAAAAAATAATTCAAAGTTTTTCGTTTTTGCTCTACGGTTATGGTTAATGAGTAGCTTAAATATTAAAAATCTTAACTGAAAACAGAATCGTTTCCCGTGGGAAAGCTGAAATTAAAGAATGGTGATTAATCTCAAGAAATTTACAAACGATACAAATCTGAACAGGAGCATAAAACACGGACCCCCTAATATTCCAGAAACAGCAACAGGTGCTTGGACAAGAAAGCATCCCCTGTCAACCGGTCACACCCACTGATATAAAATACTAGTCAAAATACGACCCAGTGTTAAGATATATATACTAACAATGTCATTATAACGAGCCTTTAATTTACTAAATACTGATCTTAAACGAGGTCTTTGAAATGTCTAGGTTTGATAATTAATCAGAGTATAATATAAGAAATGGTGACGATTGAAATTCTAAAGTCATCCTGTGCTGTTTGTCACAAATTGTAGTTGTTTATTAGCCCTTATCGTCTTTAGTTAGTAAACTTTAGGTGTAAAAATATGAAAAAAATACGGCAGACTCTGTGATGTGTCTTTTTTCTAGTTTTCTGGGATATATACACTGTAGAGTCGACTATGAATAGAAGCAACTATGATGAATCTACTGTTAACTGATAAATGTCATAAAGATAGAAATATGGATGTCAAGTTGAAGGCCACAGCAGTGTTTTCTCATGTATTGTAGACATTTCTGAATAAATTCATGTGAATATAAATACAGGTTAGCTAATTAAGGAGTACAGTTAATACACATCAGAATTTCAACAGATAAAGGGTGTGGTCTTTCAAGACTTTTTTTAGCAATATTCCAATATCACATGCATGAGGTAGTAGTATTTATGTCTCTAAATTGAATCTGTACAAAAAAGCTTGCTCTGATGATGATAACATTTTTATAAGACAATCTACTGACAATCAAATTGAGATTACCCTTGCTTTGTCCCGTTCAAGTTTCGATTTGTTCAATGGATTTATGCTATTGATAATTCTTTTGATACATTTCAGATTATTTGTCAGTCGTACCATTCAAAGCTTGCAGAACCTAATACACACTCTGAGATTGGATATTTATCCAGCGAGGTATCAAGCGTGAGTAAGTATAGCATAGAACAAGGAAGATATGAACAGTAAACATGGTATATTACGTTAACTTTTCAACTGTTTACTGGAAAGATGATAAGACGTTATTTTTAACTTGTCTCTTTCGAGGAGCCGGTGAGTTTTGGGTCGGGATTACAGACATTATTGTGGAAAATCAGTGGATCTACGATTCATCGTTAACTCCGATAGAAATAACATACTGGGGTCCGAACGAACCCGGCGGACAACAGGGAAAGAACTGTGTTATAATGTCTGCGTGGTTTCATGGAAAATACGCCGATGTTGAATGTCACACAAAGCGCAAATTCATTTGTGAAAGAGACAAAGCGTAAGTTATACAAAAAAACAAAAACAAAAAAAAAACAAAAAAAAAACAGGAGAAGTTATAATGCAAAACTTTCCTAATTCTTACCAATTTTGACAGACAAACAAAAAACTTCCTTATATATTTACAGGTTGGTTGGGCAACTTGTTGGATAAGATGTTCGTATTTCAACGATTCCCAAAAATGTTCTACCATTTGTGTTACAAATATCTTCTTGAAACATGAAATGTGTTGTTCTTAAAATTTGTTTTTCATTTAATGTGCTGTTCTAAAATGTGTTGTTTTAAAATGTGTAGGTCTAAATTTGCGAGAAATCATGAGACACAAAACACATCCATTGTAAGGATGGTATATTCCTCTTGTTCCCCGAACTTAAGTAGGCCTACTAGTAATCAGAATGAAACTGGATTTCCATGAGTTAGTAAATTTTTGCAGTTGAGCAACAGCAAGAAAAAAGTTCCAGAAATTCCAGAGGTGGGCACAGGACCCTAGAAAGAATAAGTATCCCTTGTCGATGGGCCACACCGGTCGTGAGCCTTATGTAGACAAAGATCTTACAATTGGTATAAAACAAGTCAGCCAAATACGATTTGATGATAGGATATATATAAGTATGGTAACTGACTTTTACGAGAAGCGCTGACTTTTACGGTTGACGAATTATTCTCACACTAGGACAGTGTACGGAAGCTCTTTTACGATATAATAATTTAGCTCAACATTTAATTCAACGAAAATAACGGGCTATTTCAGAGAACAGATAAGCTGTCCTTGAAGAAAACGACAAGCATCCTTCCCGCAAATTCAGGCCTTCACATACAAGGGCCCCTAACACCATTACCATGGCCACTAGAAAGGTTTTCTTATCCATTATCAATTCTGTACCTCCGTAGATGTGAATGTTAAATATGTCCAAAACAACAGTCAACTGTAAAAGTCAGTGCCTCTCGTAAAAGTCCAACAAGATCATTATTACAATAGAAATGCCGACTTTAAACGAAGGTGTTAAAAACTCTGTTACATCTGCTTATCTGTCAGGAGCATCCCTCCATTCAAAAACTGATTTCTCTCGGAGCATGCTCTAGAGTATTTTATAAGTTTGGACATGTGTACATAGGTGAAAACGGGATATTACTACATAAATACACCAACCAACAATGTTTTTCTTCCATTCTTATGTCCACACGATATATCCCGGTGAGCTTGAAATAAAAGATACCACAGAGTCTGACACATCTGTTTCATATTTGAATATTTTGCTTGAAAAATATTTTACTTTAATGGTAATCAAACAACCAAGCTTTATGATAAACGTGATTTCAATCGTCAACTACTAATGCAGCAAAACACTCTTATCACCTGCGTACGGGGTTTATATCTCTAAGTAGATTCGATACGCAAGAGCATGCTCTAATTATGAACAATTTCTAAAACGAGGTAAATTATTGACAAACAAGTTGATGAAACAAAAATATCAGCAGTATCATTTAAAGTCATCATTTTGTAAGTTCTATCGCTATCATCGATTGTCAGCAAATAAAAATTTATCATTAAGTCATATGCTGACTGATATTTTTTATACTAATTGTTAGGCCATTATTAACACACAGAATTGTGGACGGATTTTTCCGTTATTCTTGATCATGACAAGGAGCACATGGCAGGTGTGGCCGGTCGGCAGGGGATGCTCACTCCTTCATGGCACTTGATCCCACTCTGATGTTTTAGAAGTCCGAAGTTAAATTAATACATCGTAGATATATCATAATGTCGAGTTGAAAGTCACAGCAAGTGTTATTTTTCTTCTCATACAAAAGGTTTTGAATAAATTCTGATTCATGGGAATATAAAGACAGGTCAGTTTATAAAGGGTCCCAATAAGTACTGTTCGAAATTTCAACGATAAAACTTTATTCTAGTGGTTAGAGGATATCTAGAAAAACGAATTAGGTGGAACCAGCTGTGACAAGAACCTATGCAATTCTTGTCCACCCCGAGCGGAGTTTGGTAAAAATATTTGAAAAATCTTTTAAGACGCATGCTAAAAAGGTCATGTTTGAAAAAAAAAAACAGAGAGGAAACTAAACATATCAATTGATTTTACTGTTTTAAGAAATATTTCTCATAAATCCAATATTGAATGCGAATCATGAACAGGGGTAAAAACACTTATGCCTGGAGACACCAGATGTGGGAATAGGAGCCTATCAACTAGGGACACCAGAGGTGGGAACAGGTACCTATCGGCCAGAGACACCACAGGTAGGAATAGGTACCTATCAACTAGAAACACTAGAGGTGGAAACAGGTCCTAAGTATCGGCTAGAGACACCAGAGGTAGAAACAGGAAAATATCGGCTAAAGACATCAGAGTTGGGATCAGGTATCTATCGGCCAGAGACACCACAGGTAGGATTAGGTACCTATCGACTAGAGACAGTAGAGGTGGAGACAGGTCCTAAGTATCGGCTAGAGACACAACAGGTAGGAATATATATAGGTACCTATCAACTAGAAACACCAGAATTGGAAACAAGTCCCAAGTATCGGCTAGAGACATCAGATGTTGGAATAGGTTCCTATCAGCTAGATACATCACAGGCCAGAACAGGTACCTATCGACATCGACTTGAAATACCAGAGGTGTGAACAGGTACCTAAGTATCAGCAAAAGACACAAGAGGTAGGAACAGGTCCTAAGTATCGGCTAGGAACAGATACCTATCACCTAGAGACATAAGAGGTGGGTACAGATTTCAATCACCTAGAGACATAATAGGTGGGTACAGATTTCTATCACCTAGAGACATAAGAGGTGGGAACACATACCTATCACCTAGAGACATAAAAGGTGGGTACAGATTTCAATCACCTAGAGACATAATAGGTGGGTACAGATTTCTATCACCTAGAGACATAAGAGGTGGGAACACATACCTATCAGGTAGAGACATAATAGGTGGGAATAAGTACCTATCGGCTAGAGAAATCAAAGATGGGAACATGTCCCTTCAACTAAAACACCAGAGGCGGGAACAGGTAAATATCGGCTAGAGACATCAGAGGTAAGAACAGGTACAAGTATCGTCGGCTAAAGAAAGCAGAGATGGAAACAGGTAAATACCGTTATCGGATTATTATAACTTGCTGTGATCTTTAAGTGCTTTCCTCTGGAAAACATGTAATTTTTAGTCAAAATAAGTGTAAAATGACCTAACAATAGGTTTGATTCACTTCAGTCAACGTGAATATAATAATCATTTTGCCAGCCCATCTTCTTGAATTGTTTCGATATACTTTAACAGGGTGTTTTAGCACCTTAAAGATTTGGTAATCATATCAGGAAATCTACTGTACGGATGGACAGACTTCCTACAAGCGGAAGTATAATGTATGTACTCTATGTAGTCATCTAGCTTACACTTGCATTTTCGTTGTGGACACAAAAAAGTAATAGTGCAAATTTAGGCGTTGTGTGCAAGAAGAACAGAAATAGATTTTTAATAAAAGCACAAGACGTGCACCATTTGACAGGGATCATTGATGTCTGCAAATGTGTCAGAAACTAGACAGTAAAATACTTCTTCAAATTTCCTTTTCGCTTTAATTACGCATATATTTTTAGCAATTTAATATATAAAGTTCATACTTTTCGCCGAGCTGTTAAAAGTAGATCGTAATTTATGGATTCGGTGTATTAATATATTTGACTTCTTGCACACTTCGTTCTGTGATGCTTTTACAGCTTTATTACAAAGCGACACACTTAATAAATCAGACATTAATATTGAACCCACGCGCATGCAGATTTCCAATTAATATAATACACGTCGCGTACATCACACCTGTTCTATGAATGACTGACTTCCCGACCCAAAACTTGATTCGGGAAACTGCATAGCCAAAGAAAATGTCAAGTTTGATAGCTTTTGATCTTTGATGTAGTCTCTTGAATAGACAATGATATTGTATTATGTTTTATAGGTAGATCTGACAGCCCGATATTGTATTATGTTTTATAAGTGATACTGACAATCTCGTGAGGGCCACTTTGTGACGGAATTCAGAAGCAAGGTAAGCTGGGATTCAGAACTCGCTCACGAGATTGATGTGTTTTCTCCATTCTGTTTATGTCATCTGACACCTTTGTGGCCTACTGCTTTTGTCCTTTTATATCGGACGTAAAATTTTGTGCATTTCAGTCCTTGTTTGTAATTGCTGATTATAGAAACAATTTGTGTTTTAAATTTTTTTTTAAATTGAAGATAAATATACTAAGAATTTTTACAGTCATTAGGCCTCTACCAAATCATAAACAATGAGTGTTGACATGTTCATACTTTTTAGTGGTGATAGGTATAAGAAAGCAACAGGATTTCATGATTTGATGAAGGAGGATTCAATACATGACTGTTGCAGATTTTTTGCTGTAGGAAACTTAAGTACGACTGTTTAATAATGATTTTGAAGAAATGAAAGGAATTATATCAAAATGCGAATCCAGAAATGTTTAGAGCTAATGTTTCTTGTTGGTGTACCAGACATTATCTTATCTGATGTAAAAAGGATAGAGATTCCAGAATCTTGTGCATGGCAGCAATTCATGATCATTCAGCTGCATTAATCTAAAGTGTGTCTTAGACTTTTTGGTTCTAGAGAAAAACACTGAAAGCAGCGGGTCTATACTGAAGATGTATTAGTGATAGGCAATCTAAATATAAATAAATTCTAATTTTGCACAATGAGAAGCCCCGATTTTAGCAGACCTAATTTTGTATTCATATGAAGCAGAATTTGTGCAAAATCTTATGCGTGAAAAGAAGAAAACACTTGCTGTGGCCTTCAACTCGCTTAAGTTATCACTTAAGTTGAATTTCCTGTGTGTACATTACATGGTATTGTTTATATACATGCTTAGGATTAAAGGATAACACTACATTTCTTTACTCCTAGATGTCCAGCTTCCCAGATCCTTGGTTAATGATCTGTATTGTTGTCTTCCAAAGAGTGAACGATGTTTTTGGGCAATTTATTCAGCCTTCAAAACCAGCATTGATTGTCCAACCGTCAAGTTTCCAAAGCGCTGGGCAATTGAAACCAAGCCAGATGAACATGTTGGCTCAACGCGAGTACTACAATGGTCTAATGAGCCGAATGTTAGAGATCAACAATAGTAAGTCCACTAAAAACAATCTAAACAATGTTGATGAAATTAAGGAGTGGAGATTCACCGACCCGCACAATTTGATGGATACCTGGGCGCCACCTAGCGGTAGATGGGAGTATTTTGGAGACTGGAGAGAATCAGACCGGAAGAATGACGCACCTTTGCCAAGAGCAATTCACCGAAACAACATCATAAAGTACTTTTTTAGAAGAGGGATATTATTTAGACCAAATTTGGACGGAAGCAATGGGCACCGACCGGCTCACAATATCCCAGTTTTTCATTCGGGACCAATGGTAAATAATGATTCATTGATTAATGATAATATTTATACAAAATTTATTTGAATTGATTTGAATTTGAATGTATTGTTGTTTAAAAATCTTTTAAGCTTTCATGAAATACTAACCCACTGATATCCATCGAAAAACAATACATGACGTAATATCTCTTTTTCATTTCTTGAATATTTTTTTTTATTTCGTATGAAATGGTTGAATGCTTATAAAACATACATAATTTTTTGAGTTAATTTAATTTCCTTTAAGTGTCTTTGACGTATTTAGAATATATATATTTATGATTCTTTTTATTTTCAGAAACTTTTTTGATGATTCCTTCACGTTCCATAACTATTTTATCTTTGGATGATCTTCTGTATGTACATTCGCAGTCAATGTCTTAATTTTTTACAACAGTGAGGAGAGGAATATAACGAGTTTTCTTTCGAAGAGAGCCAATCCTATCGACAAGTTTTTATTTATACATTGAATATATATACTTATATAATTTATTATGTTTTTGTTTTATGTTGCATATTAAAGAATTGTTCAAATTGATGCCCATGTTTTTGAGATTAAATTATATATCAATTAAATAATCAATTCAATTTTTTGTTCAATGTGGTAATCTATGCTCTATCTGTCACGTTGGATGCATCACAAGCTTTGAAATATTTTAAATTGATTTTTAGGAATTTCGGTTAGTGCACAGACAGACATACCTTCTGTATTTCCTGTATAATACAGAAAAAATATTTAAAAGATATATTTAAAATAATAATGATAATACTGACTTCCAACAAAATTTTTAATGAAATAGAAAATTTGGTGTTATTACTATTCAAACTTGCACCATACTATATATGCTTGGATTTTTTACTTTGGTCATACAAGACATACTATGACGTATTCATTTCTTTTTCATATTGTGCTACTCAGAAGACAAATCCCAGTCAATTGATTCTGATAAAATTAACACCACTGGTTATTAGGATTTCTTGAAGTATTATGTAATGATGAGAATGTTTTCAATCCTTGTCAACAAATATGATTCATCATTAAGCCAAATGCTGACTGACATTTTTCATACTAATTGTGAAGGCAAGCCATCATCTGCACATTGAATGTTAGACGGATATTGAGCAGACTACGGGTGTGACCGGACGGCAGGTGATGCTCACTCCTCCATGACACCTGATCCCACCTCTGATATTTTGGAGGACCGTGATTGCTCTGATCCTATTTTGTATTGTTTAATTGACTATTGGCCATGAATACTGTTCTTTATCTTTATGTCCCTCTTCATATAAGTCCAAATAATACTTTATTTCACTTTTAACCCTTAAATAATTTTACTAAAAATTAAGACTAAAATCAAATTTCCACAGCCATACAGTTAACTAATAAGATTTAACATTTCGTCAAGCATCACTACGGTAATTTGTGATTTCTGCATTTTGTAAACACCATATTACCTTTTTGTTTAGTCATTATCAAGTTTTCATATTAAACTCTAATAGACTGTAAAAACATGAAAATATCGAAGAGTTATCCTTCTCAAAAAAAATCTATACACAATACCGAATGAAGAGGGTTTAAAACATGGACTCATGAAAATTGGAGAGGTGGGATCCAGGTGCCTAGGAGAGCCATTTTCGAAGAAATTTTAAGGTCGGCAGGGGATGCTAATTCCTCCATTGTACCTGATCTCTCCGCTGATGTTAATAGAGGTCCGACTTAGCTCTGCTCCGGATATGTATTGTTTGAATGGGTTTTTGAGCTTGCATATTAAACATTTCATAATGATTGGTCTTCTATAATCAAATAAGGAATCAATTACCGCGAAGCGATTTATAAAAAAACGTAAACCGCTCCAACCCAGCAGTATAACTTGGGTTACTATTTAAATCACTCCCTATAATTTAATTTTTCAATAATTAGATGTAGAAAACAAGACAATATCTCCCTTGAGGAGGTTCGATCCTGAGCTTTTGAGCAGATTCTGGTCTGCAACTTTATTTCTAAAATTCTACATCATTTTTAATTTCTAACATTGAATCTGAAATCTACAATGCAATTTAAATTATTTTCAATGAAAAAGATGCGATTAAATTCCATTCAAATAGGATTATGCCGGAAATCATATTTTGTGGCTGAAGGTTTTTTTTAGAAGAAAATGTTCCATTTTTCCCATTTGAACTATATACTGTACTGTTCATTTTAGATTCCTATTGTCTATGCTGGTTGCACACAAAGCTTATTTTTTGCAGTAAAATGTGCTATGCTGGTTCTGAAATATCTATTAAAGTGTTTCGTATGAATTCTTTCAACGAATTGTGACAAATATAGAAAATATCTTCTGAAAGTCCAGGAAAAAATTGAGCCAATTTTAACATTAAATTGACAATTTCTTATTAGTATCTAAAAAAAAATGTACATCATATACCCCACTTTTGAGGTTCTTAAAGATAACTTTGATCTATCTGCTTAAATTCAGCAAAAGTTTAAGACATTTTACTAATCTTCTTGCTTATTAAGTTGTCAATGCCAGAAAAGTAACATTCTGTGAGTACAGAAAGTCAAACAATTAATTGCAAAGCAGTTTGAAACTATTTCTTAGTCACAATTTTAAAGTGATTCTTTTAAAAAAAAAAATAGACTTATAGTATATTTTGTTCCACACTTTATTTTTATAAAAAAATATTGGGGGGGGGGGGGGTTAGACGATGTAATTTTTAATTAAGAGACAAATTTCAATGCAAAAAGGTCATATTAAATGTACTCTAGCGCCAAAAGAAGTATATTGAACCCCATTTTTTTAGTTGATTTTTTGATTAAGCTATGTGTGAAGACACTAAAAATATACTTGACAAAAAAGTTTCAGGCTTGAAATATCAGGATCCATCCTCGTTAATGATGCCTTCAAATTGTTCATATTTTAAACGTACGAGGGTTGTCCAAAAAGTTCGCGGACAATGGCGTTTTCTTTAAAATAAATGATTCTATTTATATCTATTGTATATCAAAATATTTCTTATGAAAAACTAAGTCAGAATGATTTAATTTTTATTGATGGAACTTTATATTTTTGTAAAAATCGGGGTCTTTAATGGTCGCGGATAGTGCGCACGGACCACTTTAAAGTCAAGCTAATTTCATTATAACGTCAACATTTGGATTTTGAATTTTAATATACATGTTCATGGACACACACTACATTTCCTTTTTAATGGTACCACACTTCCAAGTGCTATCAATAATCTTTAAGAATAAATTAGATTTATTATACATCATTTTTATCATAGAGTTTGATTGTTAGATTACCATTAAATTATATTATTTAATTTTAAAAATTCGAATCAATACACAGAAAATTACGAGTGTCATCAACATACACAGTTTGTATACACAAATTGCACAGCCCAGTCAGACGCTGTGCTAGAATTATAACAACGTCATGAATAAAAATCTCCATTTTCAGCAAATTACATGTGTTTTTAAATTCTTTTAGTGTCTTTAAATTTGTACACACCGTTATAGCCTCTTTACTTGTGTTACATATAGTTTTCATTAAGTTTTGACTTGTTTTATATAGAAAATAATCATTTATTCCAAACACTGTATATAAGAGTTTATGGTATTTTAACCTTGGTCCGTAAGCACTATCTGCGATCTTTAAAGACCCCAATTTTTACAAAAATACTAAGTTCCATCAATAAAAATCAAATTATTTTGACTTGGTCTTTCATGAGAAATGTTTTGACATACAATAGATTTATATAGAACCATTCATTTTAACAAAAACTTCATTGTCCACGAACATTTTGGACAACCCTCGTAATGTTAATCGGATTGATACGTTTTTGACGTAAGTCATTGTGACGTAAGCAACCCGGGTTATACAATTTAAATTATTTTTTATCCAATCAAAAAAAGGCGTTATAACCAAATTAAATTATAGTGAGAGAAACAGAGAGAATGCTAATATACAAAAATGTAGACAGGTAAAGGTACTACATTCTTTAGTTGATTATAGAAGACCAATCAAGATCTAATGATTGATAAAGAGAACACTTCCTCGCTGCTGATTATGCTTTCATGTTATAAAAATGAAATACAAACGTTCAGTAAAACAATTAACAAATGATTGATTGTGTTTTAGCGTTTTGAATCTATTATTAATTCTCTCTTGCATAGGTGTTTTCAGCAATTAGTACAGTTTTTAATAAATATTGTACAGAAATTAATTACTGCTTTAAATTATTAAAGTACATGCAAAAGAAATAATGTAACATTGAAGTTCAAGGAAGGAATCTTCCAAGATTCAAAGAGGACGGAAAAATAATGGACGAATTAGTATGAAAAACGTCGGTCAGCATTTAATTAACTCAATGAAAAATTGTTTTTGCTGACAAGGTCATAACATCGACCGTAGAACTTATGAAATTATGACTTAAAACGAGACTGTTGATATTTTTGTTTCATCAACTTGCTTGTGAATAATTTACGTCGTTTAAGAAATTGTTCATACTTTGAGCATGCTCTTGCGTATCGAATCAGCTGAAATATATAAACTCCGTATGCAGGCGATGAAGGTATACTGCTGCATTAGTAAGGAAAGTTGACGATTGAAAAGTTAAAGTCATCTCGTTTATCATAGAGCTTGGTTGTTAGATTACCATTAACGTTTTTTTTTTCAAGTAAAGTATCCAAAGATGAAACAGATGTGTCAGACTCTAGTATGGTATCTTTTATCCCAAGCTCACCGGGATATATCGTATCGACATAAGAAGGGAAATTACTATTCTTAATTGATAATACGTCGTTGATATTTCTATATGAGTTGAAGGCCACAGCTAGTGTTTTCTTCTTTTCACGCATAAGATTTTGGACAAATTCTGCTTCATATGAATACAAAATTAGGTCTGCTAAAAACAGGGTGCAATTGGTAACCATGGGAATTCCAATAGCTTGTTGGAAGATCCCGTCTCCAAAACCCACATAGATATTGTCAACCAGAAACTCAAACATGTTTTTAATATCAACGTCAGAGCACTTGTATGTACAATCAGAATGTTTTTAACTAAATAATTTTGCATTTGACCAATGACAAGGTAAGTAAATTTTCGATTTCCATTTTTATTGAAAAAAAAAAGCCGTCAATGATATCATAAAGCCTGGACTTTAACTTATCGTGGGGAATGGTTGTGTATAAAGTTGAAAAGTCGTAAGTTTTAAAGCTGTTTGGAAAAATCTTTTGATTTCAAATTGTCTAAAAGTTCCTTGGAATTTTTAAGTATCCACATCTTATTTATACCACTTCTTGAATATATTGTTGCACAGTACTGTTGAAGTTTCTCCTTCAATACTATTGATATCTAAGTGAGGAGTAAAAAACGAGTATAGAAAGATTTACTGGGACGCGCTATGTATCTTTGTTTGTAATGATTTTGTGAAGTTTCAGAATCCAAGATAGGTATGGTAATTCAAATTCATTTTGGTTCTTTGGGATCCTTGGGATCTTAAAAATATTCAAAACTGCATTATAATTTTTGAAGAATTTCTTTCTTATTAGAAATCACTGTTGTCATCATGGGATGCCTACTTCTATTTCAACAGATAAAAACTTTCTCCTTTTGCATAAAAATTATCTCACCATAGAGGGTCTATCAGGTGATACTTCCAAATTAACATAAATAATTTAATTAAAATAGTTATTGGCTAACCTTAGCCTTATTAAGTATAAAAAAATAAAGGCCTGCCAATAAAAATGAAATATATCAGCCTAATATGATCCAATGATAAGTAACACTTTTTAACAAGTTCATTATAAGGATCATAGTTCAGTCTTTAAATAGCATTTGATATACAAAAACAAGATATTCCTCTCCCATTTATACTTATCAATTGACCTTTCAACTACGTTTTTACAGAGATAAATTATCATAAGTGAATAGCAAATACGAAAAACTTCTTTCAGTAAAATGTCAACAAATATATTGACCAAGTGGTGCAGTACTTAAAATATTGGTTTAAAAAATACCCTTGCTTTTTACAACTTTATATACTCGGTTTGACTCTTAGATGCCCAAAAAGCAAAGAAATAAATACAAAACATGATTAAAAAAGAAAGAAAAGCACAGGAAGCAATTTCTTAACATCCCTCAAAATATTCCCGGTTAAACTTTACAATCTAAAGTCTTTGACAAGAATTTTTTTGAAGATTCCAAAACAAAAATGGTTTACTATAATATATCCTATTTTGCATATCAATGATATAATTGTTTTTTCATAAGATATGGTAATATATAAGATTAAGAGACAGTTCATTTTCAAATAAGAAAATCACTTGAAGGATGTTGATGAATTAAAATATACATGTATCTACATGTATCTGAAATTCTTAGTGAAAATAATTTAATTTACTATAGCTAATTATAGTACTTTTTGTTAGGGATTGCTCAAACTAATGAACTAAAAAGTTGCTAACTTTCCTCAATGTAATAATAACACGAAACTACCACTGATGGCCCTTTCTTTTGGATGTAGGTTCGAGTACTGAGTATTATCGGGCGTTTTGACCGAAGAGAGAACATGTATTTGTAAGATTTGTTTGCGATTCTTGCCTTTCTTCCTTCGCTATATTTCTTCCTTTTAATCAATTAAAGGTGCACTAATATTTCGACATTCATCAATCAATTTCATATCTTTTGTAATAATGTTTATGTTTTAAATAAATTACTGTAGAAGCACATTCAACTCATGTTTTCTCTTCAGCATCTTTAAGGAGATTAGGAAATCCAACTGATACAGAAATATTTTTAGATTCATATTTACCTTTCTCAGATCTCTCTAAATTTCCATATCATTCATGGTCAGCAGAGCATTTACAGATATCAAGTTGCTCACAACATGTACATTTTTGGTGTTCCTACAGATTTTGATTAACTAGTTCCACAGCGCCCTTATTACACTCCTTTTCCATTTCTGGATTTCTTAATTTTCATGGACACAAAGTCCATAATACTGTCCATCGGAGGAGTGAGCATCCCCCGCCGACCGGCCCCACCCGCCGTGTGCTCACTGTCACGATTATGAAATAACGGAAACATCCGTCGTCAATTCAGATATCAAAAACAATTTTTTTTTTTAATGATAAATTGTAGCAAGCTCAGTTTTTACATATGCCCTCATTTTCATGTTTTTGGCATAGACTTTGTTAAACAGTCTCAGTTTTCTGATCGGTATAGAAATAGTTTAAAATTTCTAAGAAAAATATAGAAAAATGAACGGTGCTTTTGAATTCTTTATTGTATTTTTTGACTGTGAAAAAATAAAATAAATTGCTTCTACGTTTATTATGATAAACTGTGTGTTGCATTATTTATTAAAAGTAATCCTTGAATGGATATAATTATATTTTATTCGAATCTCGATCTTTGCAATTCAAAAGGCGACTTTATAAAGCTAATTGTGTAATTAATTCATTTGATTAAGAACATTGTAAATCATAACCAAATAGGTTTATCTTTTACAAGATTTACTGTCTAAGGAAGCCTCGGTATGAAAAGGTCAACTCAAATGTGTTGCCATTAATCAAATAACAGTTAATCAACACCAGCTTCTGATGGACCGATTTACAAAATAACTTACTAATCAGACATATTTTAACTTCATGCATTATCTTGCAAAATCGTTTATTTTCTTTTTGAAAAAAATGCTTGCGTAAAACTAGCTACAGAGACGTAGATGAGGAATGTTTTGTTCTGGAAATAGTAAATGAATAAGTTATGAATATACAGTAAGTAATATTTTAAAATGGCAGTTTGAAAAACTGGAGAAATAAATCGAGAAACAGCACACTTTTTGTGTGCTATGAATATACATTTTTTTCAATCTGGTTGCTCTGCAGCTCTCTGGTCTGTCATATTACTTTTTGGAGAGAGCTATACAGTTCTGCAGCTAAATGAACCCCTGATCCACCAATAAAATTAATCAGGTTAGACTTACATCAATCGGGAAGAACATTGAAAATTATATAAATTTAGTATCGTATCACGAGTGTTGAGGCAGATTTCACGTTGAAAGTACTGCATCACTACTTGATTTCATCGACGTCATTATTACTTAACCGATTTATTTCCGCCAGAAAGTCGAAAAATTTAACACGTTTTCTAAATTTAGACAAGCATCAACCAAAAGGCTCAATCACTGTCATACCCAGAGAACAAAATACCTTCATCATGGGGTCGTTGATAAAAGTATCACGCCTCGACGGATAGCTCTCACCTGTTTGAAGGTTCTTTTCCATAAATCATTTTATTTACATATAAACATTACAGAAGTCGCAATAATCTTTAAACCAATAATTGAACTATAAAAACCCAATTAAAATGATTTATTTCAAGATTAATCATAACACATTTTTTGTGGCTAACTTGCTATTTTAAGTAAATAAGCGGACGTGAGTCTATTCTGATCAGGTATCTGGAATAATGATGAGGATATAGGGTATATAAATAGGCAGCAAGATAGAACTCCTTCAGTCCTGTCAGCAACCCATAAAGTAAGTAGCATAGGTACTCAACTTAAATAAAATATTTATCTCTAATCTAAAGTATTTTCTCTCTCTATCTCTCCTTTTTTTAATAATATAGCAACTTTCTTCTTTGATTTGCAAACATGTTTCATATTTTGTTTTGCAAACAATATGTTATACCAAATAGAAATTCTTTTCGAAAATCACTACGTGTGCAAATATTTCTTCAACATGTATTTCCATCTGCTAAAAAAACGAAGGATATTATAATAATATTTTTGTTTTATAACATTTTAACTTTATCAATTGTCTTCTTTGACTTATCTGGTTTTAAGTATTGTTTTTAAAAACATATAAAAACAAATTTATCTGATTTATTCATTTTGTTCAGATTTCTTTGTCATATCTTCTTAAAGACAAAAGGAATTTAATATTTCACAAAGAATGAAATTAATATTTTTATACAGCAATCTAAATAAATTAATTTTTTTGCTTATATTTCAAACAAATTATTAAAATGCAAAAAGAAAAAAAAATCTTCCGAAAACGTCAAAAAAATCTTGAAAGCAAGACTAAAGTTTTTTATTGAAATATTTTTCCAGAATGTTCTCCCTGATTTGCGCTGTTGCTTTGGTTGCCTCGGCTGTCGCCGATTCTAGTCCCAGTGACTATGGCAAGACCAAACGCGTCCACAATGCCGTGCCCTACACAGCTGGTCTGGGAACTACGGGTGTGCTTGGCGCTGTACAGACACCCTACTCATACATGGGCGTCAACCAAGGGTTAGCTGGACTCCAAGGACTCCAAGGAAACATGTTGAACCAATATGCTTACCAGGGTCCTCAAGGTTATCTGAACCAAGGATATTTGACACAAGGCATGGTGGGTTTGAACCAGGGAGTTCTTGCTGGTGGCATGAATTACGGAGATGACGATTATCTCCGACTGCAGTACGCCTCCATGTACCAGCCTAACCTCAATCAATATGGATCATATGGTCCATACTCGAACCTCAACCAATATGGGTCATTTGGTCCATACATGAATCTCAACCAATATGGGTCATTTGGTCCATACAGGAACCTCAACCAATATTCATCTGGTCAATACATGAACAGTTATCGACGACCCAACGTTGGAGGGTACGGCCGGAGAAGGGTAAGGCAGACTAAATTCTGTATTGCAATATGAGCTGCATGTTTGACATCGGAAAAAAACGTTACAAATTTGTAATTAACTTTTTCAATGACAGAAAAATAGAATATTAATAAACTTCTCTTGTTCATATTTGCTATGAAAGAACTTTTTATACGCTTTGATTGAAGCAAAATTGAATTATTGTCGTCCGTACAATAATGATTTCTTATATAATACTGTATATTCAGTTGTACAGAAATATTTCTTCTGAAACATTTTAAAATTTTATTTTGGTTTTATTGATCATAAGGGTTTAGATTACATACAAATTCATCATAATAACACATTTTACCAGCAAAATAAAATTCTCAAAAATGCAGCTCATATTGCTTTAAGGACATGAACTTTTTGTCTTTTTCTATAGAGTTGAAAAGTTCCAATTCTTAGAGGAACTGTGTTCTGCACTTTAATGTTTATACGAGATAGTGTTGTACACTTCTAACACAATCTTGGATAAAAGAAACACATCTAGAATATATGTTTAGTATTTTTTAAATATATTTTTCTTTGAATCACCCAAGAATATTCATCAATTGATATCTTTCAAAAAACATGGTAATGCATGCTGATTTTTTGTCTATGAATATCTGATGGTACTATAATCTTAAATTAAGAATATCTTGAAAATTTATTAGTAGGTAAGCTACGTTGCATATGGCCTTAAGTTAATTGTTTATTTTTTTTTCTAATTCTTTTTCTTTCTTCCATAGACACTGAATTTTTATTTTAAAAAAAATAGATTAAAACATTATATACTTTCTAACATATCTATTTAAATTGTGTTCGGACATTCTATTCAATCTGAACACACATTTACACGTTTAATAAAAAAAAAATCATATAAAAAGTTTATCCCTTTCATGATTTAATGATAAACTGTCCTTTTTCTTATTTCAGGGTGTGTATTGATAGACAAGGGCGATTAATCCGCATTGTTGAACCATAATTATGTATGTTTGTGTTTTATGATTAAATACTGCAGTTTAAAACTACTGAGTAATTGTTTCTTATAATGCCATGGCAGACGTTTCCAGAAGTGGTTTATACTTTGATCAATTCATATTTTGACGTATACATCGGTCGTTGTTTAGAAAATAATGTTTCGATCAGAAAATCTTGTCTATGAAGACCAGTGTCTTTAATAAAAATTTTATGTAGTATTTATAAACTCGACCTATAAAGGATTAAAAAGCAATTTGTTTGTCAATAACTTACTTCGTTATAAAATTTGTTCATATGTAGAACATGCATAATTGCGTATCGAATCAACTGAGATATATAAACTCCATTTGACGAAAGGGAATTTGACGATTGAAATGTAAAAGTCATCACGTTTATCATAGAGCTTTGTTGCTATCTAAATATGAAACAGACTCTGTGATATCTTTTAATATCTCAAGCTCGCCAGAATACATGTATATCGTATCGACATAAGGATGGAAATAACCATTTGTTAATTGACAAATATACACTAGACAAAATTGCTAACGCACCACTTGTTGATTCTTATTTCTGAATTGAACATTTGCCAGATCATTGCTAGTGTTTATAATATGCCATTATTTCCAATACAGTGGGACTGACAAGTCTTGCTATCATCAAAAGACCCTTGAGTGACCTTCTTGTACGAAAACCAATTTCCAGCTGTGCATTGTGCATCATCTTTGCCCAGATATGAAATTCTTGATCACTAAAGGTGGTCTGTGAGGTTGCCACAGGGGTAGTCCCCCAGTTATAAATCAAATAACAATCTGTCATTGACTCTCATATCACCTAGTAATCATCCGGTACCTTAGTGTCATACCAAATCCACTCAACTTCCGGTTTATCTAGTTTTGTGGAACAATTTTCAACTTATTGTATGCTGCTAACTTAATGCAGTGGTAAACATTTTTATGCTTGCTAATATATTTGCAACATTTTTCACGAGTTGAATCGATAAGCTTTGCATTGTTTTCATTTTTTACAGATTTCTGTTAAGAAACCCCCTGCAGACGCCATGGTGTCTGCTTTAGCACGCTTTTCTAGCGTCAAACGCCGCATTCGGTGTAACTTTTTTCTGAGTTTTAATTAGTAGGAATGTAAAGAACACGATTACGAAGAAAAAATTGAATTTTTTCTCTTCAAAAATGCAATAGAAACGATTTTATTATTTTCTTTGAATCGGTCACACTTCAGTGAACACTGTAGTAACTTATAAGGTTTGACATTAATATGCCTCATTTTTTATTATTCTAACATATTTATAGATATAGTATATGTGTCGATATATCTAAATGTCAAATTAAAGGCCACAGCAAGTGTTTTCTTCTATAATGCATAAGATTTTGCATAAATTCTGCTTTATATGAATACAAAAATAGGTTTGCTAATAACAGGGCGCAATTTGTACCCATGTAAATTCCAAAAGATTCTATAAAATCTGGCCCTCAAAAACCACAAAGATATTGTCAATCAAAAACTTAAGCATCATGTCAACTTCAGAGTACTTTTGTGTACAATCAGAATGTATTTTTAAAGAAACAATTTTGAAGTTTTATTGCGTAAAATAATTTCGAATTTTAATTAATGTAGAATTCTTCTCATATTTCTTGTATTTAAAAATTAATGAAATTTTCACAGAATCAAGAAGACAATATCACTAAGTGATGGTATCAGTCAAATCAAATTTGAGACAAGGTCAGTTCAAGGTCATAACCTTTTCCCTGGACATTAAGAATTAAAAAATTCTAATCATACGATTCCTACTAGCATTTCGAAAGATTGAATGATTTTCTTTTTGGATAAATACCCCGGTAGATATTGTACCATGTAGGGCCTACTAGATGATAGTAATTACATATTTAACTGAAATGGATATTGGCTAATCCGAAATTCCTCTACTTTTCTTAAATTTTTAGAATATATTAATTAATAGTTATTTCTATATGCTTCTTATGTAGCATAGCAGAATTTTGTGTATATAACTTTAAAATTGTGTTTTTATTTTTATGCGTTTATAATTATGAAATAGAGGTAGATAAATAAAAGTTTTACAAATATATAAAATTACAAAGTTATTAAAAGTGTTTGTGTTGATTTATTTTACAATTTTGTTAAATTAATTATTTTCCCACCAAAACTCTATTGAGCGATTGGTGTGGACATATCACATGACTAGTGACCATAGACAGGTTTTTGAATCTATTGGGGGTGTTGGTCATTCTTGTCCAGCGCTGTGGTACCAGCAGGTTGTGTTTGTTATTTCAATTTACATTAGTGGACTTAGGATTTTTCATTCATGGTATGTTTGACTTTTTGTTTGGTTTTTATCTTTGAGGTTTGAGCATTGTTTCAGGATGAGATTTCTATTTTTCCAGTAGTTAAAACTTGCATGTTTAATTCTTTTAGTTTAGCACAGCACTTAGTAAAATTACCAGATAATTTGGAGAGCCTAAATTCCATAATTTTGGTAAGTCGTTTGTTAAATATTATTTGTAAATGTAAGTGTAAATAATTGTTTTATTTTATCACTAAACTTTCATAGTTAAATAGGTTCAGTGGAGATTACCTTATAAATTAAATTTATAAGTGTTTAAACTATAACGATATTGAGTTAATGCGTTCAGATACGTATTAATCAGTGAAAGACTATTTTATGATTAGTGTTTTGTATTATAATATGAACACTTGATTATTATATACATTGCTGAGGTTTTGTACATTATTTTACAGGGCCAATTATCTTTATTATCAAGGAATATCTATTTACTATGTGTGAGATGAGTTGGAAATATCATAATATATAACCTGCTGAACTTTGAAACCTGTGTTGTCTTCTTTTACTACGCAAACAAGGCGGGACTGAAGAATTGGTTCAGGATTAAAGAACTTCGACAGGTATTCGGAGGGATCTGAGTTCGATTCTCGTCAGGAGCGTCAAGTGTTCTCCTTCCCATTAGAGCCGAGGTTGGCGGCCAAAGGAAATGTGAGTATGCGTCAAGGCGGGAAAATAATTAATTTAACAAAATTGTAAAATAAATCAACACAAACGCTTTTAATAACTTTGTAATTTTATATATTTGTAAAACTTTTATTTATCTACCTATATTTCATAATCATAAACGCATAAAAATAAAAACACAATTTTAAAGTTATATACACAAAATTCTGCTATGCTACACTTATATTTAAGTTTTTCTTATTTTCACAAACAGTAAACTGGTCACATAAAGATACAAAATGATACATAAACAAAAAGTTCTGATGGTTTACTAAGAGAGAAAAAATACTTTTACGGATTTTCGGCTCAAATATGTAGCTTTCAAAAGCTAACATAGTTCTAGTTTGTTTGAAATATCATACTTATTTGATATATTTTGAATGTTTAGTCCCTTATTATTAATTAAACTTAACATTTGTATATTTCTTCAAGTCTTTGATTGTGTAAAAATTATAACTAAATTCATTGTTCTGTAATAATTTTGAGAGACAGAAAAAAAGCATTCCGCCAAAAAGATAGTCCCTGATAGTTTTCAAATAGTTTACCATTTCTATTTAAAGTTGTATAATTGTGATGAGGAAAGAAAAATGTGGTCTTTTAAATCTCCTACACCTAAATATATAAGAAATATGAGCAAATATACTTTGAATATTTCTTCTAGTCAGAAACCAGAGAAGAATCCTACCTTACAAAGTTTTGGAATCAGTATAGGTATGGTAATTCAAATTCAAAACTGACATATGATTTTGAAGAATTTCCACCTCAATAAAGGGAGCTATGGGTATTATTTGGATTACCACTAGTAGAATCAAATCCAAGTTTCTGTAAAATATAATTCATATAATAGACCTTACAAACAAAGACAATTTTGTTATCTGGTTTGTCAGCACTCAGCAGAGACCAGTACATACTGATCGTGTATTCTATCTAATTCTTTCTTCATACGTAAAATTGGATTTCACTACGTATACGACCCTTTTCAGTGTAACAGTCTAACATTGTCCCCTGTCCCGTTCTTTGTACAAAATAAATCTCAAAGCAAATTTTCAGCTAGGATATTTAAATGATCAATCTATACCAAAGCAAGAGGATATGTCTCAAATCAAATTCAACAAGTCCAATGAATCTTTTATAACTTTTCAAAAATCAAATCATTTTTTTTAATTTACGCTTAGAAAATAAAATTGTTCTTCAAAAGCCTTTAACTTTGTATTGAGGTTGGATTGTCTTGCAGAAGGAACCTGATTCATTTTTTAATGTTGTAAACGTAAATAAGTGAAACCACACATTCGAATAAGTAAAAATTACAAAGTCAATTTTAATAGGTAAAATAACTTGATCGGAAAGGTGATACATGTATCATCTACTTACCTACCCATAGCCCTTGTTATGCCCGCGGGCACATACCGGGTAGGGCAAGGACTTCTCCCTATCTTAATCTTGAAAGAGATGCTCAAGAACCTTTACTTTTAATTGATATCTACTTTTTATTTCGGGTAAGTAATATCACCAATACGAAAATGGGATACCATACATGTATACTTGAAGTAAACAGATGAAATGATCTTTTTGAATAGCTGATATCTATTTTCTTAACATTTTTCATGAATTTGTGGATAGTTGTCCGCAAGGGAAAAAAATACGCTAAAATGTTGGGTCCGTATTTGAAGTACTTGTACTGTAATAACTATACTAAAAACTTCCAAAAAAGATTTTCACATTTCACTAAATTGTAAATGACAAACTCTCGATAGCCAGGTGACTGTTCTGGTCTGATGGCCTCTTTTCACTCAACATCTAAGCCCTGAACATTGACAACACTGGCGTTAAATACGTCTAATTCTTTACAAGAAGCTATAAACTGTCCATAAAGCATGCAGGACGTGATGAATTTATAGCCTCCGTGAAATATGTAAATTCTCGGGTTCACTGAGTGACTTTAGATCTGGATATTATCTTTAATAGTATTCATTAATCACTGGGATACGTTCATTAGCAGCATTTTTAAATGATAATTTACACCTTTCTAGAGACTGAATTAAACCGTCAAGTAAACAGGCAACCACGATTACAATATGGTATGGTATGGATTGTGTTCAAATTTCACACTGAGGACCGTTTTACGGGTTATACTTTTGCGGAGATATCTTAATTTAACCAAAAGATATGAAACCTGTATAAAATCTGTATCAGTCAAAATACAAAGCACGTTTATAAAAGGTTTTTAAACAGGAAGCGTATAAATTCTTTCGATGAATTTCTGCAAACATTCTGACCACAAAAAGATGTTTTAGATCACATTTCCAGAACGTCGAATCCTAGGTGAGAAGGAATTGACAAATGATGGTTGATGACTTTAAGGTGGTGGAACATCACACGCAGATCAACCAATGAAGAATCTCTTGACTGCCCGTCAGTTTGACGAAGGTGTCAAAGGTTTCCGTTGTCGTTGTTGTTTGAATGATAATTACAAAATCCTGCATTGTCTAATTTCAACTAACCTACTTCCCCTTGAACGAGCAACATGAAGGTAAGAAATTGTTTTATACTGATTGTTGACATTTAATTCTTAACTGTTGATCAAATTTTTTTTACAATACATTAACGGAGGAAGTAAAAGGATACAAGGGATATTTATCTTCAGTTCACTGATAAAGATTTAATAATTAATGATGATTCTTAAAACGAGATTAATGGATATTAAAAACAAACAATCATAGTATATAATATCACAAGAAAAGAATTTGAGAGAAAGCAATATTGAAAATATAAAAAAAAACTGTATTTGTAAAACTTGATGATTTATCAGTTTTATATAAATTTCTGTTTTGAAACTTGTCAAATCGGTGTCATTTACAGGAAGTGGTGGTAGTTCTGTTAACACTGTTCATAACAACCCAAGTGTACGGGGAAATCCTACTGTCCGATAAAACTTATGTTAATGGCGTCCTAGTGGCCGATAAAAAAGTCCCGGAAGTCCGGAAGCGGAACTATCAGCGAGTTTGGGTTGATGAGGCTGTCAGCGTTATGTCCATGGGTGAAATCCCGAAACCGCTGTACGTGGGCAACGCCATCGTCATGCAGTCACATGACTACAAAAATGGCGCCTTCTTCCCTATCGGACCAAAAAAGAGTTTTAAAGCTTTTTATTTCCGAAACCAGCAACCTATTCCACGATCTGTGATGGCAAAATATGAACTTTTATAAATGGTTTATATCAAATACAACGTTTTCATTTAATATTTGTTGAATTTCTTTACTAAAAGGAGATAGTGATGATTATAACTCGTATTTCTATTCCTAATTAACCAGAGAAAAAAGCAATAATAGTTGGCAAAGCTGGATACCTACAACGAACATACTGCACCATACAAAACACAGTGAATTTCTTTTGCATAAATCAAAGATCATAGGAGAAAAACATACATACATGTATGTACACAAAAGCAAATTTCTAAATATAGTGAAATATGCCACTGATAGTGATTAAGAATTTGACCCTTGTATGTTTATCATGAATACTTTAGAACCTTGATTTACTATAAAATATACTTTAATTTAACAAAAAAAAAAACCCCCACCCAAATGCTCAATCTGATTAAAATCCTCTGTGGGCGTGTCAAAGGATCTGATTTTTTAAAATCAGATTGACTTAATGCTTTGATTTCGTATAATGGAAGGGTTATTTACTTAAATTGAAAAAAAGTTTACTTACTTTAATGTAAAACGTTGTTCAAAACTTTGATTTGGTTCATATAGCTAAAACTTTGGCATTCTGATTTAATACAGTAAAGAAACAAGTTTAAATTTACATAGTAAGATTCCAAGATCTCCACGATATGTGTTAATTAATACAATGATTTTAGGGAATGCTAAATATTGTTAATTTTATTGTGGATCCAATCATAAAGTTTCAAACTTTGTCATCAGAATCCCCCTCCGGTCATGGGCGTATATCATGAGCGTATATCATGGGCGTATATCATGAGCGTATATCATGGGCGTATATCATGAGCGTATATCATGGGCGTATATCATGAGCGCATATCGCCAATCAAAGAAAAACAATGGAAAAAATATAAGAAATGCTTATGAAATAGTTTAAGGGTGTTTTTCTTCAGACACTTTTGAGTTTCAAAACGGTAAGGATATGTTGCCGTGTAAGAAGTCCTAATTAAGATGTCGACCATTATATCTGATCACACAAGGAGTTCATTGAATTATAAGCAGAGTTGTGTGTTTAACACAGACTCGGAATGTGATTCAACGTTCTATAGATTTCATTATTTGCGGAAATGTTTAATTCAACCGAGAACTTATATACATATGTCTTGTGAAACCAATGGAATATTTCCCCTCGTATATAAACCTGCGGGCAAAATAACTACTTTGATTTCCGTGTTTTCTTTTAATTAAGCATAATTAATTATGTGTTTTCAATTAAGGGGAAAGGACATACGACAATAGCTAATTAATACATTTAAAATACTCCTTCATGAATGTTAGCACTAGATGATGCGTGACCGCGGAACACACCTTTGTCAAATGACTATATATAACGAAAACGCTTTTAATTAATATCAGTTGACACAGGTACATATTTGGAAATACACCGATTGTGAACATATCATACAATGCAGAGCTTCTATAATAGGAATAATTCAAGAGAGAGAGAGAGAGAATTAGAGATATGAAAGAGGGGGAGTGCAAGAGAAAAGGAGAGCTGTGTTAATTATATTACTGATAGGACTTTGTCTAAAAATTGCAAGATATCTTAACTGGAATTGAGCTTTCAAATCAACTACTACAATCTCTTGGAAACTATATTATGAACTTTACAAAAATGGTAAACTATTTAAATTATAAAATTTTAGTTCGCGCACCTTCTATTATTCCTTCATTTAAATTGAAGAATTGAGTCCTCACATCATTATCTAGTAACGTTCAATCCCATTTTGAGTCAATCCTTACGTCGCGGGTTCGAATCCCACTGTGGGACGTGGAGACCGGTCCTTCGGGTGAAACCGTATAACCAGAGGTTCCGTGTCGTAGTAGTGCTGGAAAAGATCCCTCCCTGCTCAATGACCCTAAGTGGCAAGCATAGGACAAAATTTGTAGCTCTCCACCGGGTAACGTTGAATATTGACCCGAGTTGAAAATTGACCCGGGGTTCATTTTTCAACGTTGAATATTGAACCGCGGGTGTTTTTTCTCAGTTGAAAATTGAGACCAAGAGTCGTTGAATTTATACCCGGGGTCATTTTTCAACAGCTTGATTATTTTTTAACTTATCTCCGATGACCTCAACAAGTTGAAAATTGACCCTGTTGAATATTGACCCCAACGCAGATTTTGAACATTTTTTGAACTGGGAAGGTAATTGTTTTACGGGATTTATCAGTATTTGTATATTTATATTTCGGTTTCAATTTTTTCCATTTTCAAGAATATTAGAAATAAACCTATCATCCCGTGTAAATATGACTTTGTACATTTTGATCAGTACACGATTTCAGTTATCTACAAGCATGACAACTTTATTTTTTGACAATACTTTCTAAAATCTATAGCATCAATAAATAACTACAAAACTATAAATAGGGCATAAAACAAAAATCCTGGAAAGCTGGTGTCTAGAGAGTGAGCGCTATATATATTGATCAGGTGGACAGAACATCCCATCTAGTCAAATTCCGTATAAAAAAATTAACAAAATTCATACCCTAAAAATTAGAATGAAACACATCGGCCAAAATGAATCCAATGATAGGTTATATTTGTGAAAAAGGTCAATCTAGCGACCACAGCATATAAGTAATGCTGACTTTAAACAAGGTTGGTGAAATCCCTGTAACAAACTTATCTGTCAGTAGCCTGCCTCGGCCTAAAACTTGATCGTTCGAAGCATAACCTTGAGAAAGAAAACTAAAGTTAGAGTCTGGGATGGACTAGAAGCTACACCTCTCACAATCTTTGATATCAACAATTAAAAAAAACGCCGTCCCTGCTACTTCTTTTGATCTAGACAAAAAGCGCATTCCTCTTCAAAGAAACCGAGAGAGAGAGAGGGGGGGATCCTAGAGTTTTTCTCGGAGGCGGGGGTATGGTGTCAAAACCATATGAAATATTGTGACAAAAAAACCATAAACAAAATAAATAAACGAAACGAAACAAACAAACAAGCAAACAAAAAGGGGAAAGGAAAACTAGCCTATGTTGAAAACAATACCATGTTTTTTTCTTGGATGGAAGGGCCACTTCAGAAATTCCTCACAAACTATCCTGTGTTTCCCCGATTTTGGGGGAATCAATGTTGTATTTTGGCTACTTTATTATAAATTAAATAACGCTGAAAGTCAGGGTTGTGTATCTAAGGCACACATTTTTTATTTAAAAAACTACAAAAATGAAGAAAACAGCCCAGTCACAAAAACAAAAAAACAAAAAACAAAAAACAACAACACATTCTTCAAATATATATGGTACTTATCCCACAAAGGGTAGATCACCCCCACACCCTTTTCCATCCTCTACTTAACAAAATAGATATATATTGTGAGATTCGTTTTTGAACTGTTTGATGAACTATGCGAAAAAGATCACTAAACCTTTTATTTTGAAACTATTGAATTTAGAACCGGTTTCGTGATCAAAATTCCACGACCCGACTCAGTTTTCAATGGACTAGGGTCTAAATTCAACACTAAGGGTTTCACTATTCAACGTTGAAAAATGACCCCCGGGTCAATTTTCAACCCGGGTCAAAATTCAACGTTACACCGGCAAGTGGTAGCGTCTCTATATGATTAAGAAATTCCTGAGAGGGACGTTAAACAACATACAATCAATCCAATTTTATAACATCATTTATACCTAAAATATTTATTTTTTTCTAATGTGTAGCTACATGTATTGTATTTTGGACTTTTTATTCACTGAAAAGTAATTTAGCGGTACATTTCTCACAAGGAATCTTGAATATCAGAATGCTACTCCATTTTACTTCTGAAAAAAAGATGCTACATGTTCTAAGTCCAACATGTTAAACAGAAGACTTTCCCCTTTTTTTTATGAAACCAGATAATAAGACATTGGTGTGCTCGGCATAACAAGATGAAGCAGTGTTTTGTTCAAATTTTATATTGAGAATAAAGATGTAATTGTACCTGGAATGCCGATTTTCTGTTGCAATCAGTTATTGACATATTTGAAATAGTTTGATACTCTGCCAGTCTAGCTTCCATCTTTCTGACACAATTGATCACAATCTATCACACTACGCCCAATCCAAACTAGAAAACGTCATAAACAGAATCTCTTCATCTAGTGGAGGCCTACCTGAACTTGTGGATGATTCTCCACCGGATCATAGCTGTTCATCTGGTGGGGTTCTACCTGAACCTGTAGATTATCCTCGCTGGGTTATAGAACGCCTGTGCAGTAATTACGAACTAAGGCAAAGAAAGAGTCTGAGAGCAAACGAATGACCCCAAATATAGGGCTTATCATAAATTTGTGAATGGTCTGTCGTCCATCTTCGAACACTGAAGGTTACATCCTGAATCCAAAACAAGTTTTGTAGCGCATATCGCTAGGTTTATTAATGCAACATTGATCATCAATAGGCCTACACCCACTTGGGAATGTATTTTTTCTTAAAACTTTAACCAATCTGTTCATTAACACTGAAAGAAAAGGCCTGATCCAGCACTTGGATGAATCATCCGTGTAAGTTTGATTGAACCATAAAGCTTATATATTTTCTTTGGGATGAATGTGCTCCAAAGGCGTTAACCTGGTTACTAATCCTGAAAATGCAAAAAAACAGCATCTAAAGCAAGTTTTACATTGTTTGTTTGTCTGTTTCTTAAATTCCCTTTGAGAATTTTTCATTTATATAGAGAAACCACAACAATCAAGTAAAGCACTGCAGTTAGATCTTTACTCGGCGTTTATCAGTTTATGGCTTTTGAGAGTGAAGTCTTTTTTCTGCCAGCACCTACTTCGACACGGGACCTCGGTGCAATGCATGTAAGTGTGGTAACCAAATGGGTTATAGTTTCCTGGAAAAAAACCTACTCCCAAAACTCTGATATTATCGCTAATCCATAAAATGTACGTCAGATCCAATTCCAAGCTTTTGGACAATTTGAAATCACAAATTTTACTAAAATCAACAGCTGAAAAATGTTCGACTGTTCAAATTTATACACAGCCATTCCTCACGTTTAATTAAAGTT